AAGGAATCAGGAGGAAAAAATAAAAAAATAAAAAAAGAAGGAAGCCACGGGCCAGTGAATTTGTGGCCCTTTAAGAACGGTCCAGCCCGGGCACGCGGACGGCCCTGTTCAGGGATCCAAGTGCTAATTTCCGATCAGACCACTCATGGACCTTCTGGTGGGAGGTGGGCTGGAGAGCTATGCGCTAGATTGCTTTACGGGAGTTTCATTCTCGCTCCTAAACGTCGTCGTTGCTGGTGCAGCAGCTGAGTGCGCCCCGGGCTGTCGCAGGAGCACCCGCGCAGTGCCTCTCGCTGCCGGCCCCTGTCTGGCAGGAGTGCCGGACAGAGGCTCGCCCGGGAGCCCGCGCACGAGACCGTCCGCCCTGCCGAGTTACTAGACTTCTCAGCAGCAGAGCAGGAGTGTGGCGGTGCCAGAGATGAACTGCGGAAGCCGATCTGGGCTCCAGGCCGCCGTGGTCATTTACTTCACATCCGTACACAGGGCACTGGATCGCTCTGAGCTCAGTTCCTTCCTGGGAGCCTGGGGAGTACCTGCCGCCTGGGTTTCCGTGAGACCTAAGCGAGCAGGTGCTCAGTACCAGGTGACCTTTATGAAAGCATTTCCTGTGCCCGGGCGCTGTCCACCATGGTGGCCGGTGATCGGAGGAGTGGATGCTGTTGTCACCCTCGTGTTGCAGTGAGGGAACAGGTACAGAGAAGTTAAGCCACCTGCCCACTGAGGTCACTGGACGAGGGTAAGGTCAGCTGAGACTTGAACACCTGAACTGTTGGCCTCTGCTGCCCCCGGTGTTCAAGAAGCGTTACTGCTACATTGCCTAATGGTCAAAGCATCTCAACAGCAGGGCCAGCGTTGGGTGTGGAGCTGGGGCGGAGGAAGGTGACCTCCACGTGGTGAGGGCTCCCTGGGGAGGCCGCTGCAGAGCCTGTCTACGTGAGGGAAGGAGCGGCTCATGGCCAGGACAAGGGTGGCTCAGGGGAAGATGGATTCTGGGGTGCAGAGGTCAGGCCTGGCTGTGGCAGGAGGTGGGAGGAAGCCGAAGCCGCTGCAAACCTGGTGGAAGAGGAGGAGGGAGGAGACGCTGGCTGTGGCTGAGGCGCTGTGAGAGGCCGCCGGCTCCCCGGCTGCGGGCCGAGGTGGACAGTGGGCTCGGGAGGCCGTGGCAGCATCTTCCTCGGCTGGAGGGAGGCTGTGAGTGACGAGAGAGGAGACGGCCAGGGCTGCGTGTGGGGAGGACAGAGCTGGCAAAGTGGACGTGCCGGGCAGCCCGCTGCACACACGACAGAAGCACGTGAGGCCAGTTTTCCGCTAGAAATAATCCACGTGGCTGGGCTTCCCTGGAGTTGCCTCCTGACGTGGCTCTGCGGTCACTGGCGTGCTCGCCAAATCTGGGTGGTGCTAGGTGAGGCCCACAGTGGAGTCTGGTCCCGCTCAAGCCCACTGCAGGTGTCTGCTGCTGGGGCGGGCACCCCGACACGGCGGGCGGGGACAGTGCCTTCCTTCCTCCTGCAGACGCCCGTGAGTGCCCACCGGTGCCGCATGGTGTCTGGGGCCAGGGATGCTGAGGCGAATAGGAATCGGCCCGGCTGGCTGGCTCAGTAGTTGAGTGTCCACCTATGAACCTGGAGGTCACGGTTCAATTCCTGGTCAGGGCACATGCCCGATCCCCAGTAGGGGGCATGCAGGAGGCAGCTGATCTATGATTCTCCCTCTCCCTCTCCCTC